TAAAGGGCTAGATAGTGTGTGGCCATAGTGTCTCTGTTGCAACTATTCAACTCTATTGCTGTAGCATGACAGCAGCCATAGACAATACACGGCTGTGATCCAGCAAAACTTTATTTGTGAAAACAGTCAGTGGGCTGGTTTTGGACCATGAGCTACACAGCTTGCTCATGCTTGGTCTTGGGGGGGTGATAGGCATTAAATGCATAAATATGTATTAGGCATATCATCATGTATTGTAATAAGTGCCATGAGAAACAAGATGTTACCATGCTAGAAAAAAAGTGAGGTATAAGGAAATTAGCTCCTGATTAGGTAGAGGGAGGGAGAGTGGTAGAAGGGTGCTAACAAAGTAGCACATGGTACAGTATATCTTCTTGACCCTCGATCATCAGTAAAGTCTACACCAGACAAGAAATGCTTGTGCTAAGATTTCTCATAGAAACCAGGGGCTGAGCTCGATAGTGTGCGCCAGTTGATACGTGGTTGACGTTGAAACAGCACAAACGGAACAAATGGCAAGGAGGCCCCCCAGCTGGCACTGGGGTTCCATATAAGTTTACCTGTGTACCTGTGTTTAGGAGAAAGGTCTAGAAACATACACAACAAATGTTAGCAGCAATTACCTCTGGGGAATGATTGTTAGGTAGGTTCTCTCTCTCCCCAGTGTCTCTGACTCTCCCCACTCCCTCTCTTAAAAAAAAAAAAAAGATACTATCCAAAGTGAAAATGAATGACTGCTACAGACAATACAGGTGTATTTTATGCAAGATAATGTAGAGCGAAATCAGACACATAAATATATGGTTTTGATTCCCTTTATTAAGAGTTTAAAAAACTATACTGTATTGGAATTCATGCTTGGGTTTAGGTAAAACCATACAGAAATGCAAAAACTTGGAAAAGGTTTGCTTCTGAGAGGATGGGAAGGATGGTTATACTAAAGAAGACACAGAAAGATTCCTGGATATTGTCAGTTTTCTTTCTCTCATTTTTTTCTTTTATTGTAGCAAAATATGCATAGCATAATATGTACCAACTTAACCATTTTTGAGTGTACAGTTCAGCGGCATTAACTATATCCACACTGCTGTGCAACTATCACCACTGTCCACCTGTAGAGCATTTTTCATTGTCCCAGCTGACCCTCTGTACTCACTAAAGAGTAACTACAGTTTCCCTCTGCCCCTAGTCCCTGGCTATCACCTGTCATTCTACTTCTGTGTCTATGAAGAGACATATTTATCTACTCTGGGTAGACATTTGACTACTCTACTACCCAGAGTACTCAAATGTAGGGTAGACATTTGAGTACTCTGAGTCTCTCATGTGCTGGAATCATAACGTCTGTTCTTTGAAGAAGGATTATTTCACAGCGTACTGCCTTCAAGGTTCATCCATGTTGTAGCACATTTAAGAATTTCCTGCCTTTTTAGGCTGATATTCCACTCTATGTATCTACCACATTTTGTCTTCTCATTCATCCACCAGCGGACACTTGTGTTGTTTGCAGTCTTTTGCTATTATGAATAATGCTGTGATGAACAACAGGTGTACAAATATCTGTTGGGAGCCCTGCTTTCAACAATTTTCTATTTCTTGATGAGAGTTTTAAAATTGTCCATAGTGCCAATTAATGCTTAACTCATTTTCTATATGTGCATTACATTTTGCAAGAAGATTTTTTTGAAAATCCTATAGAACTGGGATTCAGTTACCATGGAAACTTGCTCTCTGATTCTGTTTTTGCCTTTCTTCCTGTGATCCTCTCATCTTTACCATGAAGCAAGCTGTGTTTTCTTGCCTATTTAAAAAGAAACCTTTTAGTGAGGTATGAAACCTACAGAAAATTGCACAAGTAATAAACATCAACATGACAAATTATTCACAAAATGAACAGCCTGGTTTGAGGGTATGTGTTAGGTACATGAAGGGAATATGTCTGGAAACAAAATAATGTACATTTCAGGAGATCAACAAAGTTATATATATATATATATTTTTTTGGAAGGAGGTCAACAAAGTTTTAAACTGAAAAATGAGTAGCTACTTAGATCTAAGGAGGTAAAGAACATGATATTGTAAAGTGTTAATACCTGGAGTTTTAAGTGGTTGCCTCTTAGGAGTATTGGGGGGTAAAAGTAAGTGGGGCAATATTCTTTTCATGATTTGTATTTTTGACTTTTAAAAATATATACTACATATTGTAATTTGAGAAATAATTTCCTATTTACAATAAATTAATCAACATTTATAATCTATCCTCCTCCACTCTAAACAAGACCTTTGTCATCACTTCAAATGATCCTCTAGGTTTTTCTCTGTTTTGCTTCAATTATCTTGACCTTTAGTATTATCTTGATAATGTTTTAAATCATGGCTCTACTATTTGGACTTATTTATGTATTGTGGGAAGATTTTGAACCACATTTTATTTCCTAACTATAAATTAGACTGGTCTGTTTACCCACAACGGCATCTACTATCCCACGTTACAATGCTGATACCAATTATGTGTTTTTTTTTTTCCAGCATAGCACCCCAAGCAATTCTCTGACTCCTGAAAGATGTCCTACAGTTCAACTTAACTCAAACACTGCTTGGAGATAGCATCAGATGCCACGGATTAAGGATTGGGTCCTAGGAAACCCACACCCCTCCTCCAACTTCAAGATATCAAAGTCCAGGCTGGACCAAAGTCACCTGTGCTTCTGACTGACTGGCGATAGACTGGAGGCCCAACAACCTCCTCTTGGGTTTGACTCATTATGGGTTTATTATAAAAAGATTCTAACCTAGTTATAGGCAGATGGAAGAGATGCACAGGGCAAGATATGGGGAAAGGTCATGTAGCTGTCATGCCCTCTCTGAACTGAGCTACTGTCTCCAAATTTGCATGTGGTCACCAACCCAGAAGTTCCCTGGACCGTGTCCTTTTGGGGTTTTATGGAAGTTTCATGACTTTGGTGCTACTGATTAAATCACTGGCCATTGGTGATGGATTCAACCTCCAGCCCGAGACCTCTTCCTGGACGTGGGTGAATGGGTGGAACTGGAAGTTCTATCCTCCAATCACATGGTTGGTTCTTTAGGTGTTTCTTAACCAATTCAGGTGTGGCTGAAGAGGTTTGTTATGAAAATCAAGACCTCTTTATCGCTCTTATCACCTAGGAAATTCCAAGGATTTTAGGAGCTCTGTGCCAGAAACAGAGACCAAAAATATATTATGAATCACATTATCACATGTCTTCCTGTTTCTGGGATATTTTGCTGCTATTCCTTCTTTTTGGTGGAATCTTGAAGTAATTTTCTAGGAAATGGTTTGTGAGTGCTACGAGTTCTTACTTCTTTGCTCATACAAAAATTCCAAGTGCTAATTCCTGTGAGAAATTCTTAAGTAATTTAAAAACATGCAATCACTTCAGCAGTCTTTCCTTTTACCCTTAATACGTATTTACTATGGTCTATCTTGTATTTTCTATTATACTGAGTTTGAGTTAACCTTTTTCACCTAGTAGGCTATAAAATGGCCTGGCAACCAAGGATCCAGCATAGTTAGTGTCCAATACTTGGTAGGTATTCAAAATTAAAGTAAATAAATAAATTTATTTTTTTTAAATAACAAGGAAATGAGGAGCACAGGGAGATAAACTTCGTCAGCAACAGGGACAATGAAGAATTCCTGCTGGGTATTAAAAGATGGGACAGGGGATCCCTGGGTGGCGCAGCGGTTTGGCGCCTGCCTTTGGCCCAGGGCGCGATCCTGGAGACCCGGGATCGAGTCCCACGTCGGGCTCCCGGTGTATGGAGCCTGCTTCTCCCTCTGCCTGTGTCTCTGCCTCTCTCTCTCTCTCACACTGTGTGCCTATCATAAATAAATAAAAAACAAACAAAAAATTAAAAGATGGGACAGAATGCAGAAGAGCCTCTTCATTTTTGTTATGGAAGATTTACTGGGCAAAAAGGAACTGAGGGGCACCTGGGTGGCTCGGTGGTTGAGCATCTGCCTTTGGCTCAGGTCTTGATTCCCAGGGCCTGGGATTGGGTCCTGCATCAGGCTCCCCACAGACAGCCTCCTTCTCCCTCTGCCTGTGTCTCTGCTTCTCTGTGTCTCTCATGAATACATAAGTAAAATCTTAAAAAAAAAAAAAAAGGAACTAAGATTCCAACTAGAAAAATGGTAGCATATGCCAACATGCCAATGTATAAAGATTCATGATTTGCTTGGAGGATATGGATGACAGTGATAGGCTCTGAGATGCTGCTAATGTCAAGGTTAGCTCTTTTAAGGAGTTTCTGCAATGTCTTGTAGAATATGAGATAGTAAGTTTCCCCTCTCTGGGATACCTATGTCCTTAGAGGTAAAGCAAAAAAACTGATTACGAGTGACTTTAAAAATATTTTCTAAAAGAGCAACGAACCCCACCCCCTCTCCCCCCACTGCCTCTTAAAGCCTGCTCATGTTTTCAAAAATTCTAGCTCTTTAAAGAACTGTTTAGCCATCAGTAGGATGAGGAATTTATCCTATCCCTCTTCTCCTTTTTTGTCTACAATGTGTCCACTGAAGAACTCCTAGACTGTGCTGAAAACAAGTAGGAAAATGACAAGTGACTTCCAACCAGAGTGTGTCAGAAGCATCTGGAAACTGTGCACATAATTACAGCAAAATGATCAACAGGGTTTCACTTCTTGAATGCAGCATCAGTTTAGATATGGTAAACATTGATGATCTAGGATGATTACACACCACACTAGAATTTCTACAGAATATACACGGGGGCTACAGGTGAGGGTTGGGAGAACTGATGCCAGGGTGTCTGGGGTCAAAATACTGAGAAATACTGGGCGACTGGTCTCCCAGGTTCCCTCCCAGTACTGACAACTGAGCTGTAGAGGGACCTGGGCTGCATAATATATTCCTGTTACAAAGCTCCCTAAATAAGAGTTTACTGGCATCGATGAATATTTTTGTAGATCTGAACTGAAGAATAAGATTCCACAACTATGCCAATAACTTAATAGTTTATTAGTCAGTCAACAATATTACAAATATTTAAAAATTACTTAATATAAATAGTTGGCAGCAAACTATTCCATTACAGAGTTAAATTACCAGTACAACAGACAGACTGGAGATTTAGACATCTGGAAGATAACAATAAAATAAACTAAAATATTTTAACGAAAAAATTTAAGCTGAAGGCGTTTACCTAGTGTCCATAAAAGCATGGGTTCTCTTTTTATTTAGAAAAAAATAAAAAACGGCTTTAACACCCCATTAGGAATATAAAATAAAATCAACTGAAAATATTAATTTGCATATCAAAGAACCATTTATAATTACAATCCAAACACTCCATAAACCACTTGTGCGATTCTATACAGAAACTGGGAATTAGAAACTAGTTGCTTTAATATTACAAAGATTTCAGCTCCAAAAATAATTCAACATAAAATAAACTTTAGCAATTAGTGTCATAAAATTATATATTTCCACATAAAAATACAAAATAATATTAATGACAAGAATATGAAAAATTATTCCAAGTATTTTACTACTATTAAAATAAAATAAAACCCAAAAAAACAAAATAGAAATATGCATGAAAAAAGTCTCTCCTTTTGTTAGCAAAACACTATCCAAAATAACTACAATCATTTACATCAGTACAAAGATTTCTGGATTTAAAAAATAGTTGCAATGACAAAAGGGGTATCTTTTCTGACAGTAAAAAATGACACTGTGGATAAAATCTGCAAAATATGCAATGAAAAAAATAAATTTGCATTAAAAAGGTTTACACTGTTATTTTTTTTATACAAACATTAGAAACAGTATTGCACATCACAACACAGAATCGAGGTTAGTCAGCCTTCCAAAATGTGTTATATTCAAGTTTTGTAGCATCTTTGAGGAGAGGCTCTGTGCAGCCAGATGCAACAGGGATAAAATATCAAGTGTTTTCCATACACAAATATATAAATGCTAAATGTTTCCTTCTTAACAAAAAGTGTGGATTTTTAAAGTTTTTTTTTTTTTCCTCCACAGTCATACTTTTGGGCAGCAATATGAACATTTAGGGAACACAAGTGAAGAAGCTTTGAAAATACAAAAATACAATCAAAATTAATAATTTTCTACAAAAATAGTAAAATAAATATGATCTGTAAATTAAAAAAAAAAAAACTCCAATACAGTGTTTAACAGTTAGAAAATAAGAATGTAGTACATAAAAGGCAAAAAGAAAAAAAAAAAGGTAGGGGTAAAGTAGGGAAGGAAGGAACAAAAGATTAGACCAACAAGCTTTAACCAGAACAGAAATGGAGGTAAAACAAACCATACATTTCTGCCATTTTTACCCGTGGCGAAAAGGGGGTTCTGTTTCATTTCCCTTCATTCCCAATATTTATTTCTGTTTAAGAAGGGAAAGTGATTTTCAACATCTCCAATTATTTTCACCATATAATTTATTTTAGTGTTCATTATTTAATACATGAAAAGGCTCTTCAATTTTAAACATTAAGCAGAAATTATGAAAATAAAGTTAAAAAATCTGCGAAATTAAATATCTAAATAATTAACATTGCAAAACTACTGATTTCTTTTCTAAATTCCAAAAATTGAGGTATAGCAAAGGAGATGTCATCAGTCAAAAAAAGTGTGCCATAAAATAGCTGACTGTTGGAAAAATCTCTCACAGAGATATAAAAATAGTGCATAACAAATGTCAAATGGATCAAGGTTGGCAGGGTTAAGGTTAGAAAAGAATACTCCAAAAATCTGGAGGATCATGGTTAAGTAACAAATAGGGAACATCGACAAATAAATTAGTAAAAAGCTCTTCTGAAAACAGCATCAACTTGAAACATTAAAAACTTGAACCACAACCACAATAAAACAGCAGAGTTAGACATGAACCACATATTTTTTTTTACAGTACAAAAAAGCACACCAGAGACAACCAATATTAAGATCAACACTTTGCTCACGTGAAGGATTGTCCCAAGGAGTTGCAGTAAGGCAACATCCTTGTAATTTTCTCTCTTTAGAGTCAAGAACCTTTAGTTCTGCATTTTTAAAAAACATCTACCATTGTTGGGTGCTTTGCTTAGATTGCAGAGTAACTTTTACATTAAAATATAGGGGCTAGTTGCATTAAAAATGCTCTAAAGAGAAAAAATATCACTAATGATATTCTAATAGTGTTCAGTACCAAGAGAAACTCATTAACTAGTGCATGTTTCCATGCCACTTTCTCAAAAAAACTGCAAGCAAAGTCATTACCAAAATTCCTTCATCAAAATCTAAAAAAAAAAGCAATTCTTAACCATTAAGAACAATGTTCCATGCAACAGTGACCCCAGTTTAGACAGAAGACCCCGATATACATAGGTCAAACATGTAAGCAAGTTTAAGCCAGATTTCACCATTGTCTTTAAGGTAAAATTGAATTTTATGCAACTAGCCATCTGTATATTTCCCCATCTCCATTTTGACTTTACTTAGGTTTACTAAAAGTTTTGCATTCTTCTATAAAGTTCATTTGTTTAAATATGGGCTTCCTGTGGGTCTTACATTTGGTGACTGGTTAGCAGTGTGCTGGCCATCTTTGGTTTATAAAGGATGTCTTAACCATGAACTATCAAAGGGGCTAAAATCAACCTTCTTTAAAATTCTAGTATTTTTCTTTATTCAATCTTTTATCTATACTATATCACTGCACATGAATTAGAACCGCACATCACAAAATTGCACAGGGATTACAAATATTACATCCAGTCTGCATAAAATCGAATTCCACTACCGACCAGATCACAAAATGGCTGCACTCTCTAATCTAAAACTAATTTGCATATTGTACACATGTAGGACAATTGTTTTAACTTGAAGTCACAATAATGCATGCAAGTTTGCTTTTTTTAAACAAATTTTATAATTTGTTCATGCTACCTAGATTCAAGAGAGCTTTTTTTGAACATTTGCAATACCTCACCTCTTGTTAGTTAATAATTCTAGTGCATGCATAAGGTGTATACAGGTAAGTAAACATGCATTTTTTTTTTCACATTCTAAAACTATGGCAGTTTAGGCCATATTGTGCTGCCTGCATTTTATCTGCAATGCAGTGTGTCTCTAACGTTTTCAATCCCGTATTAATAGGTGGCATTTACACATAACACCTATATAGCAGCAAAGCTAATACAGCTTGTGATTAAAAATGTTTAAAAATAGCTAATAAATCAGATTATCTTGAGGTATTATTTCTTGCAAGTCAAAATGGAGAGCAAAAAAATCAACCCTAATTTTTAGTTTATGTATACACTGAAAATAGCAACAATAAAAATAAGCATTTGTAGCAGACATATTCCATCTTCACTATTATTTTGCTACCTTTGGTAAATTACTGGGGCAGATCTTGAAGTTAAAAACCCACGTTTAGAAATAAGTGCACGCTTCACCCACTATATAGCAGCAGACTGTTTGCCCCTACGCAAAACATTCTCATATCTAATTTTAACTTTACATATAAAAATAACTTGGAGAAAATACAAAAAAACATTTTATTTTAACATGAAAATATCACAAAAATTAGTAAGCCTGAGATGTAGGGTTTTGGTGAAAAACAAGAGGCTTGTAGTGTTTTGGCTGCTGATAAAGATGCATGTATTGGTAGCTGGGGTGAAAGCAGAAGAATGCACTTATTTCTTCCGCCTGTCGCGTCTTCAGACACAGTAAGCCACATGCACCCTTTCTTTCCTTGTTACACAGAGGCCGGTGTGCTATTCTTAGTTCCAGCGGAAGTGGATCTGACGTGGGCGATCAGCACCTTCCTTTACCAATGGCTTATGGAACTCACGTCCTGCACGAGAGTGGATATTTGCCCAACAAAACTCACAGTAATACTGCAGGCAAGTGACATTGGCACAGAAAAAGGGAGCAAATTTTCCACCACAACGTGCGCCCTGGCATTCATCACACATCTGGTCATCTAGCACATATGGCTTTACCTCCACCTGGAAAAAGAGTGAAAAAAAAAATCTCCCATTAAATTTCCTTCAGAAATCATTTTAGTAAATTTAAAATGTTCAGAGGCATTTTCCCACAGAAATAGTAGGCAGTTTCCCAGGGAAATAGCTTTACCATATAGTAGATTAAAAAACAAAAACAAAAACCAACAACAAAGTCACTCTATTCTGACACTAATCATCTTTTTCTAAGATGTTTCATGTTCATAAGTGACAATGTGATTAAACGAGCACTTAGTTTGGTAGTTTTAGTTTATCTTGGTACGTTTTCTTCAGAGGACTATAAACTGAGTGTTATTTATTATATCTTTTCAAAGGCATAAAAGACTTAAAAAAAACTATACATCTAATTGATTCATAAAACATTCTACCCTCACATAAGAAGTAACATCTTTAAAACACCTGTGTGTTAGTATTTTGGGAGTTAGGGTGTTTGTGAGTGAAAAAGAGAAGGGCACGGGAGACAAATGGTTTTCATACCTTTTCCCCTTCATTCCAATAGTACCTGAGAGATGGCCCAACCCCAAACCACCGATTATGTCAACACTTCTGTATGTATTCTGCTTTTAACTACTTGGTATGTACACACACCAGAACTGTGGATAATCTTATTAAGGGCAAGTCTGGACTTCTGTAATTTATAGGATATAAAGTCAAAGGCCCACTGAGAAGGTGTGACTCAGGAGAAGACCTCAGACTCCAGTCCGCTCTGAGTGCTAAGCCTCTTAAACCTCAGTTTCCACATCTGTAAAGGAAGAATACTAGAACCTGCTTCACAGAGCTGCAGCAGGTAAAAGCATTTAAGGCAGTGCTTGGCACACTGCAGGGACTCTGCAAGCCAGTACTCCTTAGGAACAAGAACTCCAAATGGAGAGCTACTTACTAGCTTTGAATGGTGCCAGGCAACCTAAGGCCTCAGCCTATCCTGAGGAGAGGAGGGAAAACTGAATGTTTAACAGTTTGGTTAGAGATAAAGTAGTGTTTGTCCAAGGTAAAAAATAACAAGCCAACAATTTCTATTCTGAATGTATTAATACTTGCACGAGTGCAGAAAATGAATATATAAGGGTATTTATCTTCAGAAGCATTATTTATCACAATGGCAACAAAGAACAGAGAAAAACTGAAAAGTTGATGAAAAAAACTATAAACAACCATCTGACAGAAAGGTAATGGAATTAAGTTGTCTATATTTGCATTTCATTGATTAGGGCTGGATAAACATATTTTATGTACACTGAACATTTTGCTTTTCTGAACAGTCTGTATCTTTTGCATATTTTCTTGCTGAAGGTTTTTTCTTTTAAATGAATCCTCTTTGCCAGTTAAGGATTTTTAACCTTTTGTTCCATTGGCTTTTGGTTTTTAAAATGATCTTTGACACAAACTGACACGAACTGTAACATTTTTATGCTTAATCTTTATTTTTCAACTTTTTTCTTTATGGATTCTATCTTGATTGCCTGGCTGCTATTTATGATTCATTTCTTCATTATAATATTATATAACTATATACACATATATTAGTATTGTTATAATAACTGATAATAATTAAAGGAATTACCAAAGAATATCTCATACTGGATTTCGTATTACTAGATGATAAACAAAATGAGCACAGGGAAAGTGTCTGCTCAATACTTAGTACCTAGGATCTAGCAGGATAGCTAGCACAAAGTAGAAACTGTATCTGAAGAAATGAGGTACATTTACATACGGTGAGTTTCTTTCTCATGATTATATCTCATCTTTACTGTAATTAAAGACAGTGTGTGGTTTACTTCATTTCCGTAATATCCCATAAAATGCTTGGTGTGCAGGAGTTACTTAATGTAAAACTGTTGAAAAACATTTTTAAATGCAATGATTTCAGTTATTTGTATTTTAAAATTCTAGATATTAGTTTATGAAGCTAATCTATTTACCTTTAACAAATTGCAGACTTTCAAAGATAGAAAATTGGATTTCAAACTTGTAATTTTAGACTATTCTGATTAATAATCTCTAAAAATTAACTCTTGTAAGTCTGAAAAGCAGTTGGAATTTCATCAATTCTGTAAGCTATTATTTCCTATTATGATGCCTTTCCCTAGAACTTATCTGTAATACTTTGTTGCCTGGATTCATAACTAATGAAATAATTCATATTTAATTATTCAACTTGAACTGTAAACATAACTCCCCCAGCAAGTACCAGAGGGCACAATGAATATTACTCATATTACAATGGAGTAACATATCAAAATTACAATGAATTACACTTTTGTGGTGATAGTGCTTCCCAGCTTTTGGGGAGATAGGAGTGTTCATGAGCCAAAAGAGTACGCTGAATGAACAATTTTAATCCTTCTCAAATCTTTGGGTTATCAGTTAATTTAAAATTAATCTGTTGTTATGGTTTAATAATTACATTCATACCAGAGACACGAAAGGTACAAAGATTAGTTTTTTTTTTTTTTTGGCGTGTGTGTATGTAAGCAATAGTTAAAAATAGTTAAGGAAATTTTTTTTTAATATTTTAAGTAATCTTTACACCCAATGTGGGGTTTGAACTTACAACCCCAAGATCAAGAGTCACACACTCTATTGACTAAACCAGCCAGGCATCTCTCAAATTATTTCAGATAAAATCCAAAATATACCTTAGTAGCACTTATCTTAAAAAATAAACTTTTCTCTCAGATATTTCAATGCCTTTTTAAGAAGGCATGCAGGTGTTCCCAATTCACTTGCTTTGCATTTGAGTTGCTCTTTAGGAATCAACTCTGCCCTAAATAATTGGCCCTTCAGCTATCATTTTGGAAACAAAGGATGAGGTAGGACACCTATAACATTTTTTCCCCTGTGCTTCTGCATATTAAAGCACTATAAATTGTATACAATGTAGGTAACCTCCTCCTTGACTGGATCACTTCTTGGCGAAAGTCAGGGTTAGACTAGATAGGTGGTCTAAAGCATGGCTGCACATTAGAATCACCTGGGAGCTTTATAAATTTCTGCTGTTCCTGAGCTATATTATAGCACAATCTCTGGGGTTGGGGGGGGACCCAGATGTCAAGATTTTTCTAAGTTCCCAGGTGACTCTATTCTGTAGCTGAGGGTGAAAACCACTGGACTAGAGGAACTCCAGTTCAACAAATTTTCCTGCCAGTTAGAATTAAAGCAAAGACCTTCCACTTAGGTGTGTGCTGCAACATTTTAAGTAACAATGCAACAAAAATCAGTCTGCTTGTATGAACTGAACCTATGATGTGCTTTTTCCCCCATTTATGGGATGGCTTGGAAATTAAATTGATGACTACTTTTTAGAGCCCGTGGTCTATATTCAATCCATATCCTTTAACCAGCTCCCCTGCCTCCAAAAGTCTTTTAATACATACAGATAGCCTCAGGGAAGAACCTGCTAGAAAGTGTTACACTGGAAAAATAAATACTGACTCAAGTTATATCTACTAATTTAGATATTAAAAAAGTTAAATTGCCTCTTATTCTTAGCATATCTCATCTGTACCATAATGCAAACATGACAATTTTAGAATAATGCTTAGCTTTATATGGGAACTATGAAAACAGATTTTAGTATGAAATAGATTTGTAAGTGAACAACTGAGTTTTGGTCATTTTCTCTATTTTAGCTGGTAATCAGTACTAGGAATTATTCAATGGAGTAGCTTTTAGTTAACATTCATAGGACTTCCTAAAAAGTTCTTATTGTGATGACCTAAACAATGCTACTAAAGAGTAAATGTTTAAAATTTAGGATAATTATTGTGTGTGTTTAGTTTATTTGTATATTTATTATTTTGTACACTTAGGGAAATATACAGTGTATTTTATTTTAAAATTAATGATAAAAGATAAAAATGTTTTAACGCTTACTTAGTGCCAAACTAAATGCTTCTACATAGGAAAATTCATTTAATCCTCAAAGTAACTGTGAAAGACATATTATTATTGCTTTACATTTGATAAATGAGGAAAAAGCACACAGAGTTAATTTCTTGAGGATTACAGAGCAAGTGGTGGAAATGGGATGTTGGGCAGACTAGCTTCAGGGCATAAGCTCTTAAAAAAAGCTCTGCCTCCATGGTCAGAAGGATATTAAGACCTTACTGGTGGATTAAAAACAAAACAAAAAAAAACAAACAACTTGACAAGGACATTTATATTTTGTATATTGTATCTAAGGTTCAAAATATGTTTAATAATTTTACATTTCAGGGGTATTTTGATATAATACTCTTTAAGAGTTAAAGAAGTATAAAAAAATAAAGTGCTTGAATTATAGTATTAACTCAGGGTAGTAAGCTTTGGATCAGCACCTTATTATAAGATGTTAAATGCTTTCCCAATACACAACTTACGCGTTTATCGATATCTCCATGCTGAAGCTGAACAAACCGAGCACTGATGGCAGCAATATAGCTCTGCTGATTGGAAAAAGCAACTCGACCAGCACCTTTTGGATATTTTAGCTCAGGATCTGTATCAATTCCTGCATAACAAACTCCACCATACAGCCGGTCCATGATCATAGCAAGTTCCACTTGAAAAGGAAAAGAAATTCATATATAATGTGAGAGAACACAGTATATCAACAGTTTTTAAGTACTCTTTCACTATACAAGTATTTTGCAGTTCTCCCTCCTTTCTGTACCATCAGTTTTTCCCTCTATATTGGATCACTCTTAATCTTTTAAAAAACAAATCAGAACTCTTAATTCTGTTTATTTTTCCCTCTTGGTAACTGCTTAATTTATATGTTCCCCCTTTACAGCCAAAATGTTAACATTTTTTTCTTGTACTTCCCCATCCCTCTCTTCCTTGTTCAACCTTTTATAGCCAGACCTTCACCCCATGATTCCATGTTAATTGCTCATGCCACTGCCAAGTACAATGGTCAATCTACCTGGAAACAACAGTGAACATAGTTCATTTCTTCCTTTCCCTTGAAATACTTTCTTCATCTGGCTTCCAGGACACATCATTCTACTAATTTTCATCTGACCTCACAATTCCTTCCTAGTCTTCCTTGTACCTGGTTCTTCTTCAACTCTTGACTTTTCAATGTCAAAAGTTTTAGTCCATGGATTTCTCTCTATACTTGTGGCTGTAGTATCTTCATCCCATGTCATGGCTTTAAATACCATGTTTCAGCCCCTAAATTTCTCTCCTCTCTGGACTCCAAACTCATCTATGCAACTATCTCCTGGACAATTCATACTGACATTTAACAGACCATCATCACTTAGTGTGTTTGAAATGGCACTCCTAATCTTCCCCATCCCACCAAATCTGCTCCAATGAATTTTGGCTGAGTCAATTGGTAAGCAACAGAAAAGATGAAGTTGACAAGACCTTTGGCTTCATCCTATTTTCTGTTTTCCAAACTGTACATGCAATCTTATGAACTTGATTTTCTTTCTTTTTTTAAAGATTTTAGTTATTCATGAGACACACACACAGAGAGGCAGAGACAGAGGCAGAGGAAGAAGCAGGCTCCATGCAGGGAGCCTGACGTGGGACTCAATCCCGGGACGCCGGGACCATACCCTGAGCCAAAGGCAGAGACGCTCAACCGCTGAGCCATCCAGGCGTTCCTGAACTTGATTTTCCAAGTTCATTCTAAAATCCAATCTCCTCACCTCCATCACTAACATCCTATTCCAAGCTCTCATTATTTTTCATCTGGATCGTAGCAACAGCTTTATCTCTTTTCTTCTAGATTTACTATAAAAACAGTAGCAAAGCCCCTCAAAATTTATTATCAAAACAGTAGCAAGAGTAATTCTTTTAAAAATGTTATTAGATATAAATGGCTTAACTGAAATTTCTAGGTAGGTGCTCTAAATAGTACCACAAACTTGCTTTCAAAACCAAGACCACAATCTTCCTCCAGTGTTCTTCCCCTCAATAGAAGGCACCACTATCTACTTAAGTGGCTTAAGATTAAAGCTGAGATTCAACCTTTTGAGTTTACCTCACAAATCATCTGTGACATGTGTTCATTTTGCTCTCTTACCACTGCTACCTCCAATCTAAGCTCACGTTATCTTTCTCCTGTCCTGCAAAAATGGGCTCCTTAAATGGTCTACTCAAATCTACTCTCAACCCAATTGCCCCTAAAACGTATCATTAGCTACACTTATCCAGAACTCTTCACTGATTTTCCCTTGCTCTGAGGATAAATACCTAATTACCTTATTAGACCTGTATGATTTGACTCCTATTCACTTTTTCAATGCCTTTTTGTGTCTCCCCTCACTCCTTATACCCTTAGTCAGCCACTCTGGGCTTCTTTCAGTTCCTCCAATGCCCTCTGCTTCCTTCCACTAAAGATCTCTGAGTATGTTCTTCCCTTTGTGAAACACACTCCTCACAACCCTCCTGCCACCTCAACTCTATTCCTTCTGCTGTGTGTCAGCTCAAATAGGAGTATCTTTTAAATATCAGATTATACCATATTCCTTTGATATTCTTCTATTCTCTATAGGCTTTCTTTGTAGCAGTTACATTCTCTAAGTATTTACATGTGTGAATGATTCTTTTAACATGTTATCTCCTGTATTGGAAGAGGATATTCTCAGGGGTGGAAGACACTAGCACACTTCACAGAGCACATGGAATCATAAAACATGCTTGTACAGTGGGCATTTATGTCTGTAATTATGTTCCTAGATGACATCTCTGGTTCCTGGTTATTCGTGAAGTTTCTTACTTATCAAAGTGCTATTTAAAAAAAAAATCCCGAACCAATGGGGGCAAGATGGCGGAAGAGCAGGGTCCCCAAATCACCTGTCCCCACCAAATTACCTAGATAACCTTCAAACCATCCTTAAAATCTACGAATTCGGCCTGAGATGTAAAGAGAGACCAGCTGGAATGCTACAGTGAGAAGAGTCCGCGCTTCTATCAAGGTAGGAAGACGGGGAAAAAGAAATAAAGAGACAAAAGGCCTCCGAGGGGGAGGGGCCCCGCGAGGAGCCGGGCTGAGGCCGGGGCGAGTGTCCCCAGGACAGGAGAGCCCCGTCCCCGTCCCGGAGGAGCAGGAGCTGCACCAACCTTCCCGGGCGGAAAGGGGCTGGCAGGGAGTTGGAGCAGGACCCAGGAGGGCGGGGATGCCCTCGGGCTCCCGGGGACACTAACAGACACCTGCGAGCGCAGGAGAGTGCTCCGAGCTCCCTAAGGGCTGCAGCGCGCACGGCGGGGCCGGAGCAGCTCGGAGGGGCTCGGGAGCGGCTCCAGGGAGGGAGCTGAGGGGCGGGAGCGCGAATCCCACAGCGCAGGCCCCGGAGCACAGGGCGCCGGGACACAGCCCAGGATCCGGCCTCCCCCGGGACAGGCAGAGGCCGGGAGGGCCCAGGACAGCAAGGACGCTCCTGCCTCGAGCTGAGCAGATCAGTGGCCCCGCCCCGGAGCCTCCAGGCCCTGCGGACGGAGAGCCGAGAGCCCCGAGCCGAGCCCGAGCCCCGTAGTTCCTGCGGAGGCTGAATCCAGGCTTCCAGAGTTGTCATAGCAACTGCGACTGTTCCTCCTGGGGCCCCACGGGGTAAACAACCCCGCTGAGCCCTGCAGCAGGCAGGGGCAGAGCAGCTCCCCCAAGTGCTAACACGTGAAAATCAGCGCAACAGGCCCCTCCCCCAGAAGACCAGCTGGACGGACCAGTGATACTCCCCCGTGTTCCAATACAACTTGTTTTTGGCCACTCTGCACTGAGCAAAATGACTAGAAGGAAAACCTCACTTCAAAAGAAAGAATCAGAAACAGCCCTCTCTCCCACAGAGTTACAAAATCTGGATTACACTTCAATGTCAGAAAGCCAATTCAGAAGCACCATTATACAGCTACTGGTGGCTCTAGAAAAAAGCATTAAGGCCTCACGAGACTTCATGACTGCAGAATTTAGATCCAATCAGGCAGAAATTAAAAATCAATTGAATGAGATGCAATCCAAACTAGAAGTCCTAACGACGAGGGTTAACGAGGTGGAAGAACGAGTGAGTGACATAGAAGACAAGTTAATGGCAAAGAGGGAAACTGAGGAAAAAAGAGATAAACAATTAAAGAACCACGAAGACAGATTAAGGCAAATAAATGACACTCTAAGGAAGAAAAACCTACGTTTAATTGGGGTTCCCGAGGGCGCCGAAAGGGACAGAGGGCCAGAATATGTATTTGAACAAATCTTAGCTGAAAACTTTCCCAATCTGGGAAGGGAAACAGGCATTCAGATCCAGGAAATAGAGAGATCCCCCCCTAAAATCAATAAAAACCGTTCAACACCTCGACATCTAATAGTGAAGCTTGCAAATTCCAAAGATAAAGAGAAGATCCTTAAAGCAGCAAGAGACAAGAAGTCCCTGACTTTCATGGGGAGGAATATTAGGGTAACAGCAGACCTCTCCACAGAGACCTGGCAGGCCAGAAAGGGCTGGCAGGATATATTCAGGGTCCTAAATGAGAAGAACATGCAACCAAGAATACTTTATCCAGCAAGGCTCTCATTCAAAATGGAAGGAGAGATAAAGAGCTTCCAAGACAGGCAGGAACTGAAAGAATATGTGACCTCCAAACCAGCCCTGCAAGAAATTTTAAGGGGGACTCTTAAAACTCCCCTTTAAGAAGAAGTTCAAGTAACTCTGAACGTGAATGGGCTTAATGACCCCATCAAAAGGCGCAGAGTTTCAGACTGGATAAAAAAACAGGACCCATCTATTTGCTGTCTACAAGAGACTCATTTTAGACAGAAGGACACCTACAACCTGAAAATAAAAGGTTGGAGAACCATTTACCATTCAAATGGTTCTCAAAATATACCCTAAAAACTACAGAACACTTCTGAAAGAAATTGAGGAAGACACAAAGAGATGGAAAAATATTCCATGCTCATGGATTGGCAGAATTAATATTGTGAAAATGTCAATGTTACCCAGGGCAATTTACACGTATAATGCAATCCCTATCAAAATACCATGGACTTTCTTCAGAGACTTAGAACAAATTATTTTAAGATTTGTGTGGAATCAGAAAAGACCCCAAACAGCCAGGGGAATTTTAAAAAAAGAAAACCATATCTGGGGGCATCACAATGCCAGATTTCAGGTTGTACTACAAAGCTGTGTTCATCAAGACAGTGTGGTACTGGCACAAAAACAGACATATAGATCAATGGAACAGAACAGAGAACCCAGAAGTGGACCCTGAACTTTATGCTCAACTAATATACGATAAAGGAGGAAAGACGATCCACTAGAAGAAAGACAGTCTCTTCAATAAATGGTGCTGGGAAAATTGGACATCCACATGCAGAAGAATGAAACTGGACCACTCTCTTGCACCATACACAAAGATAAACTCAAAATAGATGAAAGATCTAAATGTGAGACAAGATTCCATCAAAATCCCAGAGGAGAACTCAGGCAACACCCTTTTTGAACTTGGCCACAGTAACCGGAGAAGGACAAACAGTGTATGTTCTCATTCATTTGGGGAATATGAATAATGGCGAAGGGGAATATAAGGGAAGGGAGAAGAAGTGTGTGAGAAATATCAGAAAGGGAGACAGAACATAAAGACTTCTAACTCTGGGAAATGAACTGGGGGTGGTGAAGGGGGAGGAGGGTGGGGGGTGGGGGTGAATGGGTGACAGGCACTGAGGGGTACACTTGACGGGATGAGCACTGGGTGTTATTCTGTATGTTGGTAAATTGAACACCAATAAAAATTAATTTATAAATAAAAAAAATATATATATAAAAAAAAAATCCCGTTTATGTCTTCTTCAGATATCAGAATCAACCCACATAAAATAAAGGGACCCCAAATTCTTCTTTTAGAGACATACTTAAGAACTCAAAAGTCTGCTTGGAGTTAACTATTAATATTGATAGGTAAGTGTCCATTTCTCCACTTACTTGATGGTTTTAAAAATGCTTCTCAGAATTCTATAGAGAGTAACTTTTAGAGCCATGAGGAATCTGCCCCTTTCTTGTCCAATATCCAATAGTACCATGTACACAATAGTTCCCAAATGTTTATTGAATTAATTCATATTTGATTTTTAAAGAAGCAACATTTGTTAACATCCTACTTACCAGCCCTCAATGGCCTAGGAACACCTCCAACAAAAATTGTTTTTCGAGGATCCAAAGGCTGAGAACCATCCATCACAAAATCACTATCACTTAAATTCCAAGGACGGATCTGAACCTATGAAGAAAATAACATCACTGTAATGAGTCTTACTCCCTTGACAGCTTATGCTGCTTTGTGCCAGTTAACAGTGGTCCTTCTATTTTTCAAAATTTTGTATAGTTTATTTTAAAACAGATTAGTATTTTTTAATCTAGATACTGTAAGCTATCCAAATTTTTTAAAAACTGAACTCTTAACATGGTAGTTTCTTTTTTTTCTTTTTTATCACTAATGCTTACTTCAAAATTGTTTTTGGAAAACTTGAATTTGTAGCCCAAAGTCCAAGCAGTATTTACTTACTGGTTTGTCCTTGATGGTGGGGCTGGAAACACACAGATAGAGTTTTCCATCTTCTTCAATACAAGCATCAATTAGCGCCTGAACTGAGCTCTCTTCTTGAAAGAGAAGGAATGCATAGCCTGTAATAACCATCAAAAATGAGGCATTATGGGAAAGTAAGTTATTTCACCCCAAATTTTAGTACTGTTTAGAAAAATACATGCTTTTGGAAAAGAAAAAAATATTAACTATCAAATAGAACCAGAACCATTAGACTTTCTAGAGGAGAACACAATATCCTATGGAATACATGCAAAAACAGATACTCATTAATTAGTTATCTTATATAGAGTGCTTACTCCCCAAAACTGTGCTAAGGGCTTTAAATAAATAAATAATTTCATTTGACTCTCACAAGCCTATAAAACATTCTCATTTTATAGAATAAAAAAACTGAGGTATTTAGCAATTAAATGACTTGCCCCAAGTCAGTCACATGAGCAAGCAGTTGGTGGAGTAATTTCAAATCCAGGACAGCCTCCGAGGTTTTAAGAACTTGGCAGGATTACCCTGTTAAGCATATGAGGAAAAGATTCCTAGATTTGGATTAGAGCGCACTTGGAAAGGCCCATGAATTTCCATAAAAAGGGGAGAATTCCATAGTCAGCATCACAACTTCAAGATGGTACTAAGGAAACTACCTGAAGGAGGCTGGAGTGAAACAGGTCCTCCAGCATGGGTCAGAACCTTAAATCAAGTCTTGACTGGGATAAGCAGCGGACACTCCTTTCAAACAGTCTGGACACTATATTTGGACTTTGGGCCCATGCTCTTGTTTAGATGCCTGGACTTTTGGGAAATAAGCCCCCCCCCCTTTCTTTGTGATAACTGATTGTCAATCTTTAAGCAGAAGACTTTATTATAAAAAGAAGATATCAAAATTTATACTGCAAGTTCACCATTATATGATTATTCCTAGAAGCTGATAACTAACTGACCAAAAAACATCCCTTTTTCCTTGATGAGATTTCTATGCAAATAAACCTAGAGAACTGTAATCTGGTTCTAATATGAAGTCATCAAGCAGGCCAGGCACATCTATTATACAATGGTTAAGTGTGAGGTCACATTTTACATAGAAATCTAAACACACAGCTTTATTGTCGACAATGCTATAACTGCCACAAAAGTCTGATGTGACATAAAAATGCTTCATTTTAAAATTGTAATACCTGATTGCATAAATAAGCCATCAAACCAAGCTATGCAAATAGAAACTTTCAGAGGTATGATTATGCAAGATTAAAAAACACATCACAGACCTTTCTACTTGCTAGAAATAATTTAAATATGCTTGAGAAAACTGGTGTGGCCTGGGTAGCTCAGTCAGTTAAGCATCTGCCTTTACGATCATGATCCCAGGATCTTGAAATTGAGCCCCATGTTGGGCTCCCTGCTCTGGTGGGGAGTCTGCTTTTCCCTCTAACCCCCTGCTTATGCACTACCTCTCTCATTCTCTCTCAAATAAATAAAATCTTAAAAAAAATGCTTGAAAAAATAAATAACAGAGTGGTTTTTCTTTAAGTGAAGGCTTTAATTTTGATACAGGGATTTGAAAGTTATAACTGTTTTGTAATAATTAAGAGGATAAAAGACCAACTTATTAAAATAGTATTTTAAATTCAGTATTTTTAATGTTAAGATTTGTGATATTAATTTTTGATATTAATATTTTAATTTTTCTTAGTTTTACAGTAATACTTTATATTCAATATTCTTAATATTGCTTAATTATTTGTGTGATTACGAGGGAAGAAATGTTTGTGTCACAAAACTAATTAAGCAGCATGGCAGGTAAGTTATGATCTAGCTAAGGCAAACCATTAAATATTAAAATACTCTTACCAAAAACATACTATATAGCAAGCCCATACTCACATAGGGTAAACCTCATTCACTGTAAAAGAAACACATGTACATGTGTGGCTCCATATCCAAGGGCTCATGTCACTGCCTTAATTAGAAGGCAGCATCACTAACAGGATGCCTTCTGTACCAGTGTTTCCAAACCATGGAAAACGAATTACAACGACAAAACTGCTTGAAAGAACAAGGTTTGGAAATACTGGTCTCTGGCAACAACAATTAACTATAATTGTATCAAAAACTGATTTGCCAGTGCTACTTTTTTGAGGTCTTTTTGTTTTGTTTTCAGTTTGAGAAAATAAACTAACCATCACCACAAAAACCACAACAATGGCAACAAGAGCAAAGACAGCAACTATTCTGTTTGATCAAATTTGTGCCAACACATCTTTCTAGGCTTTGAGTCCACCATCCTGTTATATGAACAAGAGACTCAGCCAAAAAATGTATACCTGCCTCCACACAAACCAATTCTCACTCCATTGTAAAACTGTATTTCAATTCCTGCCTGGGACTCTGTTCAACTGCTTTATATCTATCTAAATTGCACAGTACGTTCAGATTTCGTTCAAAACTTCTAAGTGAAGCCTTCTCCACCTACTTCAGGTCAAAGGAATTTCCCTATCCTGTAGTATTTATAGCTGATTACATCATTTGTTAGTCAATTACTATTCTGTGCATTTCCAAGAACACAAAGATGAGTAAAAGCATAGTCTAAGAAATTACGGGAAGACTTGGGTATTAGCAAAGTCATTACAGATTTATAGAGTTGTAAAAATGTAACACTGCAGCTGTAACAAGTGCTTTCAAAATGCCGAGCCTCTGTGAACTGTGAACTGGGAGTCCTGAAAGTTTCCTATGAGCAACCAATATTTAAACTGAGACAAGCAGGGGATATGCATATGAAGACACATGAGAAGAGCCTTCAGGGTGAGAGAACACCATACGAAGAGCCCTGAGACAGGAGAGAACAAGGCCTGCTTTTGGAACCAGAAGGGAACAAGAAGCAATAATGGGAGAAGAAACCAGAGAGATAGGGAGGCCGGGCAGGGCAAATACATTTTTGCCTTTATTCTAACTAAAAGAAACCACTGAAGGGTTTTAAGTAGATGGTCAAGGGATTGGACTATCAGATGAGTTTTTGGAGAGATTATCCTGACTGTACTGTGGGAGAAAAACTGAAGAGCCAGAAGTATGGAGAGACTAGTCACATTCCTCAAGTGGGCCAGGGTATTTGTAACTTAGGACTATTAGAAGCTAATTGGCACTTTTATTGAACACTCAACAAACTTTATAAAAGGACAAGAGAGTGAAAAAATGGACAACAGATTAAAACTTAGTAAACAAATGAATGTCTACATCTATATGCAGTTAATTTTCTGTCTATACCAAGTATCAGGAGGGCGCCTCAGTGGCTCAGTTTGTTAAGGGTCTGCCTTGGGCTCAGATCATGATCCCAGGGTCCTAAGATTGAGCCTCAGCGGGGAGTCTGCTTCTCCCTCTTCCTCCTGTTTTTTCTCACTGTCTCTGTCAAATAAATAAATAAAAGTCTTAAAAAAAAAAACATAAACTAAGTATTGGGACCTCCAACACATCAGTAAACTACAAATTTGAGTGAATATATAGAGTACAGGGAGAAAGGTCCATAGCTTTAATCAGATTCTCATAGAGACCTGGGATTCAGGATTCCTGCTCAAAAGATGTTCTTGATTCTATAAGCATAAGATTTAAAGGTGTAAAATAATAAAAAAAAAAAAAACCACTGCACTATTCCATTTCTCTAAAAATCTACATGAATTGGTAAATGACAATTCTAGAATTCTCAGTGACAAAAAGTGGAGATGTCCCATATAATTACTAGAAAACTTTAGTTTTTGTATGCCAATAACTATTCTAATGTGTTTCCTTTCCCAGAGCCCAAATCAGACTATATAAGAGATCCACTGGAGTCTTTTTTCCAGGCTTGAAAATCTACTCAGCCAGGAGAATAGGTTTTTTTTTTTTTTTTTCTAAAATTTTATTTCAATGATGTTTAAAGAAAAGTCTTGGTTTGTTTTTTTTTTTTCAACTTCCCCCTTTCTTTTTATTCACTTCACAAAATCTGCCATTAGCAACCTGACTGGATTCACATTTAATTCTCTCCCTTCACCACCCCTGCTCATTGTGGGCAGGGGGTACTTCCTCTCCCCACTGACTGTGGCCTTGCTTTGCTTACAGGAATGACAGTGTAATTTGTGATTCTTGTGTTATGGTAACAGGCCACAGTAGTATCCTAGCAATAAGTTACTGGCACAACTTGGTATCCTGTTCACATCTGATCTCTTAATATAATAAGGATTTGGACCAGTCACTTTCTTCTCCAGCTAAATTCACCCACAGAATAAATATTGCTCTGTTATCTGTTATTGTTTGAAACACTTAAGTAAATCTTGCAACATTTATAATGTTCACGTGTTTATTATTTTTTTTTCTCAAATAGGTCTTAATTTCACTGTGTAGAGGAGCACTTTTATATATATATATATCTGTACCCGTTACTTAGAAGGATGCTTCAGACAGAAAAAACCTCAAACATTAGTTGATTTGAGCCTTTGAAAATATTGTCAAATCATTATAGAGAGAGTGCAGCAAGGGTCTTATGGTTCCTGACTGGCTTAAAGTGAAACTATGAGAGTCCTTGGGCCCATTCTTCCTCACTTGACAAACATTACTAGCCTTCAAAAATTACTCTTTTAGTTTGTATATAAAAGGTGTAATGATATAATATTCGAAAGAGAACAAAACACAAAGTAATTTATACTGTCTTATTTGCTCTCACAAAACTGATTCCCTAGAAAATATTAACAGCAAAAACTCTTACCTTTTGGTGGAAAATAGGACTTGCTTTCGGCTTTATGAGGCCAATCTACTACCAAAGGCCCAAATCTTCTGAAGCTAGCAGTTATTTCGTCTTAAAAAAGTACAATAATACACATTAGGAATTAATTTTAATGGTTTATTTTGAAAACAAATCATATTTTATAAGTTAAACTAAGATAAACTAGAATTAGAAAACTCAAAACATGTCTAATATCCTTACTAAAAGAATATATATGAATAAATAACTATTATAGTCAAAATAAATTCATTTTTAAGCAACACATTGGCCAGAGCAATCAATTCAGTGTGAGTTTTAAATTTTATAAAACATGTGGATACTAATGGATTGATAGTATACCAAACTATAAATATTACTGGCTTGATAAGCATGCCAACATTATCTTAAGTTAAATAAAGAGATAGTTAATGCTTGATAAGTGAAATCTCATAGGGAAAGAAAAGGTCTCTAGAACAAGACATGTAGAGTTATCACACTCATAAAATATACTAAGGTCTGAAACACATCAGGTAGCTTCACTGAAGCACATACAGGTCAAATCCAATGATATGCTCTAGGTTATTTCATCACATGAAAACCTTATTATACTAAATAACACTTAGAATAAGCTTCTGGATATTTGAATCATAATTGAAAAATTTCTCAAAGTGTAGCAATTTCCTATTAGTTGTGAATAAGGGTGGCAGATTTCCTACAACTGCACAAACATTAGACCGTTTCATATTTTAATATTTACCTACTTTCTTTTGTTATTATTACTATGATTATTTTTACATCTGTTTAGTATTTGTACAACCTGAATTTCCTGTTTATGTTCTGTTTCCATTACTCTTTAGGGTTTTATTGCTTCTTTCTTACCTGTTTCCCAGAGCCTATTTATCTTTCAGGAAATTATACGGTTGACTACCATGCACTGCAGGCATTTTATTTTGTATGTGTTGTATTATGGTAATATCAAAGATTTTAAGTTTTATAAGAAATTTTTTTGTATGATGATAATCTTATTTACAAAAAGATACAGTAACAATATGCATTTTAACATATAAAGAAAAAACCTTTAAACTGTTCAGTTACCTCCTATTTCTTATTTCAACAGGTGACAAAATATTTAAACAGAGATGGATATCCATTCTGACTGGAAATCTCAAGGTAAAAAATTCCATATCCCCACATTCATGTTATACTTTAGGTTTTTGTTTAAGCTCAAATTATCATCCTACCTTCATCAATATCTGGAGGAAGACCACCAACAAAAACTTTTCGAGAGAAGCGTTCTATTCGTTCTCCATTTTGATGAGCTGAGTAACATGTGGGTGAATTTAAAACACCAACTTGATCATTATGACCATCATCAAGCAGACCATCATCTATTGGAAAAAGGGAAGAACGACCTAAAATATAAGAACAAATATAACTTGAATCTCAGATATATAAGGAAATGAGAAAGTCAGGCATAAAAATAGCAGTGACAAATTCAAAGGCTTAAAACATGAAGGTGACATGGGGACAAAAAAATAAGGGGAATTTAGATAGTTTAAGATTTTAATTTACCTGGATTCAAAAGAGAAGTAGTCTAAAGAATGGCTTAGAAATAAATGCAGTCATATGACAACAATTATACTGCAAACAAGCATTAGATCACTTCAATTTTTTTTATGGAAAACAGCAAGAATCTGGTGTATGGGGACAGTTTAAACTGGATGTGTAAAAGGAGAAACCTTTGAGAAATTGGTGGCAGAAGGGAAATGGCACAGACTAAATAGATAAGAGGTCATACTAAAAAGCCACTTGCAGACCACAATAAGTAAGGACAAAGGCAACATGTAAGACTTGCATAGAAGGTTCTGAATTGATTACACATGTGACAATTATATATAAAAGGGTAAATTAGACAGGGCTTCTGCACATGTGCAAAAACAGAAAAAGGCATCCTCTCTAGGACTTTGGTCCCCATCTGATCCCACCCTTTAGGGGTGGAACCCTCTGTACCAAGCACGTCCTATACAGTCCTCTGCAGAAATTCTGATGCTAGTCTCCACGTGGATCAAAAAAATAAAATGACCTAATAAAATACAGCTTCTTGCTCTCAGGGAATGTACATTTAGAAAAGATAAGATCTATACATATAACTATGGCATATATCCATAAGAAAGGTTCAAAGTACTTCAGAGGAAGTCTGTTGGAGGAAGGGAGTAGTCTGGCTAATTTAATAAACGGGTAATTTTTTAAATCCCCAAGTGAAACTGAATGGTAAATGTAAAAAGGGAAAGCAAGTGATATTTGCTCAGTGCATTAGAGAGGGTAAGATATTTCTAAGTGAAAATATTTATTAGAACATGGCTTTGAGTAAATTTTCCAAATGGAAAAGAGACGCATAAGAAGGAAAATATGAATTTATTTAAGAAACAGGAAGTAGTCAAAGTAGACTACTACATGTTGGAAATAAAGAGAGTGCAAGTAACAGCTCTGAGGCTAGTCAGAATGCTTACACCTGAATGCCAGGCTAAAGGAGAGGTTTTATTGAGTAGGTGATTACAACAAGTAAAAGTGGATACAGGAGCTAAAGCAAGATAACTTTACTGCTGCTTTAGAAAGACTGATAGCAAATGTGGCTAAAGTGATTAGAAGTGAGCAGACCAAGAAGGATGGACAGGGAGGTAACTATAGTGGTAAAGAGTAGATACCTGGGAAACAAAACAAAAACAATGGAAAGGAAGAACTAAAAGAAAGTGTCAGAAGATGAATAATAAGAATCATTAATTAAATATAAGAACAATAAAGATCACAACCTGGTATTAAGAAAGGGTAGATATGGAAACAACAAAATGCACAGGCAACATTTGGGATGGGAGAAGATATTTGCGAATGACATGGACATATTTGATAAAGCGTTAGTATCCAAAATATGTAAAGAACTTATAAAACATGCAAAACACAACTGAGTTAAAAAATGGGCAGAAGACTCAAAATAGACTTTTCACAAAGAAGACATATAGCTGGCTAACAGATGCATGAAAAGTTACTCAACATCATTTATTATCAGAGAAATGCAAATCAAAACTAAAATGAGATATCATCTCACATCAGTCAGAACAGCTAAAATGAACAACTCAAGAAACAACAGATATTGGTGAGGATGTGGAGAAAGGGGAACCTTCTTACACCGTTGGTGGAAATGCAAATTGGTGCAGCCACTCTGGAAAACAGTATGGATAGTCCTCTAAAAATTAAATGATCCAGCAATTGCACTATTAGGTATTTACCCAAAGGATACAAAAACACTTATTCAAAGGGATACATGAAGCCAACTGTTTATATCAAAATTATCAACAATAGCCAAATCATGGAAAGACCCAAATAACCATCGACTGATGAATGGATAAAGAAGCCATTGTGTGTGTGTGTGTGTGTGTGTGTATGTATACAATATATATAGCATATATATTCCAAGTATATACACAATGGAGTATTAAGCCATCAAAAAGAATGGAATCTTGACATTTGCAACAATGTGGATGGAGCTAGAAAGCATTATGCTAAGTGAAATAAGTCAGTCAGACAAGAACAAATATCATATGATTTCACTCATATGTGGAATTTAAGAAAAAAAAAAAAAAACAGATAAACATGGGGGGAATTAAGAGTGGCAAACCAGGAAACAGAATCTTAACTACAGAGAACTGAAGGTCTATGGAGGAGAGGTGGACAGAAGGATGGGTTAAGAAGGGATGGGGATTAAGGAGGGTACTTGTCATGAACACCAGATGTTATATAGAAGTGATGAATCCCTAAGTTCTGCACATGAAAACCAATATTACACTGGATATTAAGAAACAGAAATTTAAATAAAACCTTGAAAGAAAAAAAAAAGAGGGGTAGAAATATGAAACTGCATGGGGCTGAGAGGGTGTTCAGAACTAAATGTAAGGTGGGAGGTTGCAAATGGAGTGGAGAAAGGAAATAAGCCACATTTTTGAGAAGGTGAACTTTTTTTTTTTTTTTTTTTGAGAAGGTGAACTTTAAAGAAGAGACAGCTGAAGGTTCTTTGTCATATCACTGATGACAATTCCAGAGAGAAGTGACGAGGTAGTTCCTTGAGAAGCTTACAAGGAAGTAACAGAACATTCAAGAAGCTCAAGACAGGAGTGGTTAAGAAAAGTACAAGAGAAGCCAAAATATTATTTTAACAGAGTGCCAAAGAAAAATGTGATAAAAGTTAAAAAAAAAAAAGCTATGAAGTAATGGTGTGAAATGTTAAGATAATCATTTTAAAAAATGACAACTGTTTGAGGACATGCATGATCTATCTTCAAAGGTAAGCGATTTTAGTAAAGTTGGATGAGAGTCATGCTGCACATAGTTTTATAAAGTAAAGACATCAAAAGATGATTCTTTAGAAGTATATTAGAGAAGGGAAAAGAAAGTAAGAAGGTAGACAAATTTGTTTTTCTTTCTAGATAGAATGAAAGGTTTGTTGGTTTTTTTAGATGGGATGATGCACAGAATCCAAAGTATGTTGCCTTAACATATACAATATTCAAATTAAAATATTATTAATATATCATCTTGAAAAATATGACAAATAATGATACAGGTGATATAAATAAAGACAATGTGGAATGTGATGGCCTGCAGAGAACTGAGGTTGGAATGAGAAGGAAGGGGGCTATATGTGAACTGTAGCTAGCTGGATGCTGGAAATAAGAATTTGAAGTTTCTAACACCAAAAACGGGGCAGAAGATCATGTTTATATAGGAATAAGGAATTACTGTACAGATTCAAATTCAATTTAAGTAAGATGCTTTGAAAGACGTCCATGTTCACTGAGTAACTTTGTGAATACTAATTTAACCTTTCCAATACCTTTGTTATCAGAAATAAGGACCAATGTAAAACAAAGGTCACTAGTCTGTGTAATCATTAGAAAGAAAGCCCTTCAAAAATATTTTATCTAACCATTTCATCTAAGAAAACAAACCTCATCAAGATCCATTACAAATAATATTGTGAATAACTGGTTCAATTTCTAAGGTTGGACTTTAAATAATTATTTTAAAAGGAATACGATGAGGCAGAAAACATGCATATCAACCAGTTTTTAATAGAAAAATTACAAATCCAAATTTTATACTTATTTCAGGCATGTCAAAACATTGGAAATTATTTCACTTCAAAGTGCCCTAACACACATATGAATTTAGCAGTCCCACGAATATAATATTTTATCTTGAGAAAAAAATTTGGATCATAAATACTTAGGATCTAAATAGAAATACTAAATGCAGTGACAAAGGAAATCACTACATAAGAGAGGTGATCCAAAAAGGGTTTAAAATTTCTGTGTTAATTATAATACTGTAAGCATATTCATAATATACCTACATTTTAACAATGATTCTATATTAGTAACTATAATACAGTTTTAACTATAACAAATAAATTATAGTTAATGATTATCAAAAATCTCTAATCTATGTTTAAGCTATGGAATTAATTACTCTTTTAAAAGAATTAATTACTCTTTTAATTTACTCTTTTGTTGAGTATATATCAACAAAAATATCACTTTTTATCTTGCCAATTATCTTTTCCTATAATCTAAGGTAATATATGACTCTAAAAGGAGGACCACTAAATAATGCATCTTTCATGTGTAGTACACTTTAAACATGCTTTCTAAGAATGATACACACATATATTTAGTGCATGAAAATAAGTGGCAATTTTACCTTAATAAAGGTAAAATTATATATGTTGACAGAAGTAAAATTTGATTTTAAATAACTTGGACTAAAATACTTAATTAACAACAGTGTTCAACCAAAATTAAATTACCTTTCTCTCTCTCTCTCTCTTTTTTTTTTGACCTGAAACTAGGATATATTTTCAGGTTCTTGTGAAATTTATGATAAATCAAAGGATTCAAGATAGTTCATACAAGAGAATAAAGTCAGAGGATTATATGATCAGATTTCAAGACTTACTAGTAGTTAGCTATGATTATTAAGAATGTAACACTGATGTTAAGAAAGGCAAATAGCTAACTGGAACAAAACAGAGTCCAGGAACAGACCCACACATTTACAGTCACTTGATGTTTTTCAAGGTTATGAACCAATGGATATCCAGCTGGAGGGAGAAAAAAAAAAGGGAATCTTGATCCCTATTCTCACACCAAACTAAAAATAAATTCAACACTTAAATGTGAAAGATAAAACAAAGTTTCTAGAATTTCTTCATGATATTTGGGGATAGGCAGTAATTTATTAGGACCAAAAGGCACTAATGATAAATGAAAACAACTGGACTTCTATCAAAATTAAATATTTTGCTGCTTATCAAAAGATAGTAAAAGTGAAAAGGCAGCCACTGGAAAATAGGACATAATCC